TGGGGCTGCAGGTTTCCCGTGAAGAAATAGGGCGGTTTGGCTCGCGTATGGAGACTGCCACGGCTCCGTGTCTCCTGCCGCCTGGCCCGAGAGGACCCGCGCCAGCCGGGAGCGGGTCGCATCCTTGTTGGCTGGCGGCGGGCGGCGGCGGGGGTTTTTTTCAGGCGATGCTTCGCGCTCCCGAGGTCGGGTTCTCGGCCTAAGGCCGGAAAGGCAGGTGATGCTGCAGTGAGCAGTGCTTGCTCGTGCAGCGTCGTTACCAAATCTGGAACTTGTAGGTGGTGTTTGGAAAATGTGCTGCTGCCGTTGTGGGGTGGTTGCTGCAAGGTGTCCTTTGTTTCTAGCCTCTCTGCTGCTTTCTCTTGTTTCTAGCAATGGCGGTGCCCAGGACAAGAAGGGCTCTAATTAAGGCACCTTGCTAGTGACCATTTAGTGACTGCTTTTGTATTGAAATACTTCGTGCAGTTGTCTTTGAGGTGGTAGTTGGTTATATATACTTCTGCGGAAGTGGACAGGTAATGAAGAGAAAAATTCTGCATCCTGTAGGTAACCATTTAAAAAAGTAAAAAGGTGTTTTTGAGTATCAAAGAGCTGAAACAGCACAGTTTGTCCTTTGTTGTTTGTGAGGAAGCACAGCTGGGAAGGATGTTCTTGGTAAGACATGAGTGGCCCAATTTTGTTGTTAAAGTGTATTGAGCACTTGGGGGCCAGTGGGAAGAAGCAGGATGAGAAATTACTTCTTTGTAAAATGTTTTGCTCCATCTCCAGGAGGACTTCTAAACTGCACTAGGTGCAGGCCAGGGAGAAGCTGGAACAGCTCTGATACAGTCATCATTTGCTCACTAGGAAATCCTGCTCTACTTCCCTGAAATAAACCTCGGTCGTCAGGGTTGAAAATATCCTGCTTTTTTGGGCGGTGCGTCTTACTGACTTAAATCTCTTCTAACTTCCTCGTGGAGTGCCTTCCTGTTCCGGGGGATGCATCCTGCTTCCTGATGCCCTGGGAATCGATTGCCTCTGCTTGGTGAGTTCATTTTGTTTGTATGCTGGGCTGGCCAATTAATAAGTAACCTTAGCCGTCATCCAGGCTGCACCAGAGAGCATAGCAGCGTGTGCCTTGTGTAGCTGTAGCTTGCCCTAGAAACTCTGCGGGTTTTTTCATACTTAGGTTGTGGGCTCATAGCCCTGAGGTCCTGTGCAGGGAATGCAGGCCTTGGGGCAATGTTTGTGGGAGTCTGATAGTTCTTGTTTTGAGTTTGAGGTTTTCCTGACTTGATTTGTCAGCAAATCCCGCTGACTGCTTTTAAGCTGGATGGCTGGTTCTTACCTTGTTATCTAAGCCACCAGGTAACTTTGTCTAATGACAGTTGTGTTGACCAGGGATGGCAGTACGTGTGCTCTTCTGTTCTGAGTCACTGATCTCCATAAAACTAGACTGAACTTTCTTTCCCAGAAGGACTTTAGGAGGTGTTCTTGGATTTCTCTCCGTTTTCTTGCTGACACGTGAACAGAAATAATATGCCTAAAGCTCTTCTGCTGCTTGATGCAGACAGCTCTACGTGTCTCTTCTCATGCACAAAACCTTTTAAGTTCAAGGTAATGACCTTCTGTGACTTTCTGGTGTGATGATGGTAACAGTTTGTCTCTATGTGAACTATTGACTGCTCTGGTTTTTTTCTTTTTTTTCTAATGTAAAAGTAACAGAAATGTGGAAAAAAAAGTGTGAAATGGATTTGGTAACTACTACTCCAGAGAATAAATATCCACAGTGGATGCTTGCAGAAAACCAAGAGGGAGTTTTGGGTGATAAAAAGGTATGTCATCACATGGGGAAATTTAGTTGGTCGCAGGGTGCGTAATACAGCAGCATCGGACCACGTGCTGTTAGTTACGCCGGTGCCTCTGATATTAGTGACTGTTTCCAGCTGGTTTGTCCTATGAATGGTAATTAAACTTAGGTACTCCTGTGTTCTTTCTGGTTGAATTAGCTTGTTAACGTCTTTTTTTTTTTTTTTTAATTAAAATACCAGGTATTGACCAAGGGCCGTTGTTATTACTTCTGTAGAAATTTCTTCCTGACAACCTTGAATTTTGGTGACAAAACCACCAAAGTACAAGGGAGCTTTTGGTGCATCGCTCACCCAGTGTAGTGGGCTGTGTACCAGCAAGGACTGGGGATTTTTCATCGGTGTAACATGAGAGCTCAAATTGTAGCCTGACAGGGGAGTTTGTTGTGGCAAGGCCTTATGGTTTTCTTCACTTGCACTTGTGATGTGTTTCAGAAGGTTGTGCAGCTCAGAGGTACCAGAAGAATCAATTGATCATTGAGATCAGGTCAAAATCTTTGGTGTTTGAAGAACTTTTGTGTCCTTGGACATTGTTGTGTTCCACCTGTATGAGCAGTTTTGGTATAAAACTTCCCACTAAAAGGGACCTCCCACTGTAACATCTGAACCTGCTTTTAACAGTTAGAAAATGAATTAATGACAGAAAAGCAGAAGACTCAGTTCAGCAGTTTTTCTTCTGTAAAGTGGGAGTAAAGAATTGGTAGCACGGATGTGTTAAACTCAGTTAAAACCAACTTGACCTGCATCTGCTCTGGCACCCTGCATCAAGCTCTTTGAGGAAGTTGTGATTAAATTTCCACCCATCATTGACTGAAGGAAATGCTTTGTTGTGCAAGCATAAACTGAGCACTGTATGTCTTTGTTTCAGAATCTCCTCTTTCCAGGCAACTTACTGTTTCTGAAACTCTATTCAAACCTGGTTTTGTGTGATGTGACATCTTATGGTTGACAAGATGCAAGTGGTGTTGTGTGATGCTTAACCATATTTGCTGTTACAGGCATCGTAGCTGTACTTGCGTATTTTCAACCAACCCAAAGGTTTTTCGGGTGGGTGAACGTTAGGACAACTTTTGCAATTCAAAGAAGTTCATCAGTTGATAACTTTTAGTAAATATACTGCTGGAAGGAGAGGGGAAAAATGCCAGCTGTGCCTTACCTTGTGAGCTTAAAGCTTCAGGCTGTAAACTGGTATTCATCAGTTGGTGGAGAATGTCTCTCCTTGGAAGTGTTGCACATGGCTCTAAACACATGGGGTGTACTTAGACCTCTGAAGTTCCTCACATGTGATATCTGGCAGGGTTAAGCATAATGGGCTGGCCGAAACATGGGACGGAGGAAATGATGCAACTGAGCCATCACCTCCATCTGCACTGAAACAGAGACGTGTCAGAAGAGCTTAGCCTCACCAGATTTGAATGACTTCAACTGTGACTTTAAGTTCTTATTGTCCACTTTCTTATTTTCCTCCTCAAATCTGTGGAAATGCTACAACACTTGAAGTAGCATTGAGGGGTTTTTGACACTAAAATGGAAGTTTTCCCTAACCTTGTTCTTGGAAAGCAACCAAACCCCTTTGGTGGGAAGAATCCACCATAAATCGAGGTGGACGTTCAGCCTGCGCGACGCCAGTCCGTGTGCTCGGAGTTAAGCGAACAAATCGGGGCGTGGGTTAATCATGGTAGGGGTATTGCCCTCCTGGTAGTTGTCAGCAATACTGGCCCTGTGTGTGGGAGCTTCTGCTGCGAGGTTTTGGTAACCGCCAGTGCCGGCCGTGCTGGGATACATCATCAGTGTCACCTGCAGCGATTGCAGTGCTGATGCCTCTCTGGCAAGGTTAAGCGTGGGCAGTAACCAAGCCTCTTTCAAATGTCGTTTGACAGAAGTCTGTTATTCAGAGGAGCCTTTTGGAAGATGGGCTGCCGTTCCTAGAGTTCTGCGGCTCCATTGTTTACAGCTATGAAGCCAGTGACTGTTCCCTCCTCTCAGAAGATATCAGGTAATAGCTCTTAGACTGTTTTGTTTTGTTTTGTAATGCTTTTTCCTTTCTGAAAAGGACTTGGCTCTTCTGTCTCCTTCTCCTGGTTGACTGTGCATTTGCTCTGTCCAGAGGTCAACATTTCAGCCAGAGAAAACCTCTCAATGTGTTGACTGTCTTCTTATGCGTGGCAAATGTGTCTTGCCGGCTGCAAACACAGACTGAACCTATGTCTCATGACGGTGAATTACCCTGGGAGACATAGACCTGGTTTATCTACAGTGCATGGTGGCTTAAAAATACCTCTGCATTGTGCTAGGCACTTGTAGTTTCCCATTTAGGCTTTTTATGGGAGATGCCATCACTAAACCTTGCAGTCCCTTTAAGCAGAAGCAGTAAAGGCTCTAACGCAAGTTCGTTGCCTTTCACAGTATGGCTTAATTTGTGAACTTCAGTGGCTTCGTGGGGAAGTGTGAGCTGTAAGAAAGCATGCAAATGTGTTAATTCATAACTGGGGACTGTACGTTTGAAGGAAGCGTAGTCAGTTCATCATGCAAATAGATTATTGCCCCATCCCTGGAAGTGTTCAAGGCCAGGCTGGATGAGGCTTTGAGCAACCTGGTATAGTGCAAGGTGTCCCTGCCCATGGCAGGGGGGTTGGAACTAGATGGTCTTTAAGGTCCCTTCCAACCCTAACCATTCCGTGATTCTATGATTATTTTCCCCCTTTTTTTGCGTAGCACAGCTCATGTTGCCAAACTTAAGGTGTAGTGGGATAAAGAAAGAGCAAGCTTTCAAGGGAATATCAGCTATTCCATCACCTTTTGCATCTGGCTGTATTCTGAGTATTGCTGTATTACCATCTGCATGCAGTAGGGTTTGAATGGTTTCTTGTAGCTTTTGGGACCAGCAGAAATTTCACCTTCTGACAGTCTTGATATTAAAATGGTTTCTGTGTCCTGTACATATGAAAGGAAAGATGTACTGGCTGTGATTCTTTTAATGATCTTTATGTAAGTGGATTTTAAATCTCATAGGTGAAGAGGTAAATGTGATAAATGTCCATTTCTTTTCAGGCAGAGTTTATCAGATGGGGCTGCTGTTGGATTTGATATTGAATGGCCACCGTCATATACTAAAGGAAAAATGGCAAAAATAGCTGTAATCCAGATATGTGTAACTGAGGAGAAATGTTATTTGTTTCACGTATCTTCGATGTCAGGTACTGTATTTCCTCCCTTTTCATTAGTTAGGGCATGAGTTGCCCTCTGGTTGTTGTGATTAAGTATGATCCTAAGCCTTGAGCTACAGCTGATACTTCACTTCATGCTGGACAGTAAAAATCCATCTTTCTTCCCTTTGCTGCCTATAATCAAGTGTTTATTCTTTTAGGATTGCCTGTGTATATCAAGGGCATCTTAGCCCAAGTCTTGCTTTCTGTGGTGACATAGAGCATTTTAGGTCCTGAATGGGGCAAAAGAATCTTACCTGAGGGTTATTTTTTTTCTCTCTGGGAAAGAATATTTTAGTTTGGTTTTAAAGATTTAATCCAATTTAATCACCTGCTCATATAATGAGCTTTCTGCTTTGTGCCAAAATAAACAACGAGCCTAAATTTAGCAGGCCGTTTCTTTTAAAATTGGCTTCAAGAAGAAAAGCCCTCAAAAATTATGGCCGTCGTGCTGTTTTTTCCTAATGCCTTCATTTTGTGACATGTATTTCAGAAAGAATACTGGATACCTGGTGTGATGCAGCTGTGGGGAGAGAAGGGGATGTGCTCACCAGAGTCTGAATTCATTACGGATGTGAATAAAAGCTTCCAAATAGGGGAAATAGGAATGAGGGAAGGAGGCTGCAATTTTATAACCTTTGGTTTGAATGTTAGATTGAAACTATGCCTGTGAGATGTCTCTGATTTCCCTGGGGTGTGCATGCTGAGGTATAATAGCGATAATTTTAATGTTGGTGTTCAATCCTTTGTCATTTATAGCAAATGGAGTGGAAAATTGAATAGCCTCCAGCAATTAAATCTGGGAGGCAGAAAGGTACAAGTGCAAAAAAGAAAAAGGTTTGGGACAAGGAAGCTAAGGCAAGAAGAGTCATAAAGAGTGGAAACACCTTTAATTCTGAAGGTGAAGATGTTTGTGTGACACAGAGTACAGTCGAATGTGGGCTGCTGTGTGTTAAAGCAGGGCCTGCTGTTTCCTCCTGAATAATCTAAAACTCCTCCTCTTGCCAATGGAAGACGCACTTTGAACTGGCTGAGGTGTCAACCTTTCTGCAGGAACTGCAGCCAATTTCTGCTTTTATTAGGCAGAATACGTGGCATCTCCAGAAATGTAGGTGTTGCCAGAACTAGCCGGTTGGATGAGACTTGGAATTTTTTGTTGCAAAAAAAATAATGCTTCCTTCTGCAGGAGGAAGAGCGAGGAGTGTGTGGACTCTAAAAAGGACCAAAATCACGTATACTGATCAGGAAGATTCTTGCTAGTTTTCCATTTCTTACTGTTTGGGTCTTTGGTTTTTGGTTGTGGTTTTTTTTTTCTTTTCTTGCAGCCTTCTCAGAAAATGTGGCCTGTTTATCAGATTGTAGCCTCTGTATAGTCTTAAACTTCAAACTTTTTTTGTTCATACAGTCAATTTTCTAGAAATGAGGTGGTGGAAATGGAGCATAAGTTTCTGTCCGTGAAGGTTTTCATGATGGTGTTCGTAGGTGAAAAACCCTAGTTCAGTGGGTCAGCTGCTTGTGCAGCGGGCTTTTATTCAGCTCAGCTGTGTTTATCTCCTCCACAGAGGATTTTACGTACTGTGTTGTGGCTGAGGTGCTTTGACAGTGTTGTTCTTTGTCTACATCTTGCAGCACCAGGCTACTACCATTTTGTGGGTGTTTTAACAGTGATTTTCTGATGCTTCGAACTGGACCTGCAACTTTATGGTCCACAACACAGCTTATGGGGGCTGTAGCTGGGCAAGTGTCTGTATCATTCAGTGGTGGCTATAAGGGTCTGGAGATTGGTGTGTAAAATAAAATCAGTGATGCAGAGTGATCGTTGAAGTATATAAACACATATTACAGTAGTGAAAAGGTGAAATGTGAAATCAGAACCAAGCCAGATACCAAATACTATGTGTTTGTGCAATACTGTGTGTTTGTAGGTACTAGAATTACATTTGAGACTAATTCAGGGTATCCAGCTGTGGGTTCCTGAAGGTGTGTATTTAAATAAGATGCTCTGCATTTTAAATGGAAACAAACACAGAGGGGAGAAAAAGGCTGCTTTTGTTAAGTGCCAAGTGGCTGTGGCTGTGCCGTCCTGTAGAAAACCAGATATGAAAGCTGCATGCTTTTATTCAGTCCTGTAAACTTGAAAATACCCTTTGATCCAGGATTTCTGTGCCATCAGTTTGGGATAAATCAAAATACAGTGCTTAGCATCTGTGTACATACTTGAATATTTCTCTTATTTACAAGACTGACTCATCTGGGCTTGGTGGAGGAACTGGTTGACAAAATCTGTTTTCCAAATGCTATTATTGAACCAGCCCAGCATCAGCACAGAGTATGCCTTCACAGAACATGTTTTCCTGGTGATTCCCCGCACTTACAGTTTATACTGTTTCCTGGGAATGTGAAATAGCCAAGACTGGGAAGGAGTAATGTGGGAAATAGTAAAATAATATTACATTTGGTTTCATGAGCATCCAATTCTGGTAATAAAATTGTCTTTTCCAGTTGGAGGTTGCCTTTTTGGTATGTTATTTTACCAATCAGAAAGACAAATGAAGTCAAGTTGGGGTTTTTTGGTGGTTTTTTTTTTTACTTGATTTGTTTTGACATGCAGAAATATATTGTGTATTTCAAATAGTTCCTTCCTGCTTGTCTACAGATGATGCATGACAGCTGTTTGGTGTTTCCAGTCACTCCAGAGTAAAGTCACATAAACACAGCAAATCTGGGGGCTTTTCCTCTGAAAGTATAGGTTTTTGCAGATGGCCTTTGTGCTTGGATTTTGTCATTTCCATTACACTTTCTGGCATTTTCTAGTGTTTAGTTTCTCATGTTTGGGCTTAATCTATTTTAGGTTTTCCCAAGGGACTCAAAAGACTGCTTGAAGATGAAACAATTAAAAAGGTTGGCGTAGGAATTGAGGGAGATCAATGGAAGCTGATGAGTGACTTTGAAATCAAACTGAAGAGCTTTGTGGAGCTGGCTGACGTTGCTAATGAGAAAGTAAAATTTAAAACCTTTTTGTTGTGGGAGGGAATCTTGCTATTGTGCTGTACAAAAGGAGGCTTCCTTGTCTTCATAGGACTTGAATTCTGATAACAAATGTATCCCATAGAATAAAGCAGAGCTTTACTGTAACTCATTTTAAAAAACATTTACAAAGAACTTAAGTAAGTCTGCAGAACTGAATACTGTCTTTCAGCGGGCCACTTCCTAATGAATGTTTGTCCCCTTTCAGATCTGTTCACCCTTTGTCGTTACAAGCTACAGCTTTTGAATTCAACTGCAGATGTGTTTTCTTGACTTCTTAGCGATAGAAATCGTCAGGTTGTGTCAAGTCAGGGTTCTACTGGCAATGGTCTCCTTGTCCCAGCGGGCCCAACCTTTAAAGTAAGACATGAAAAATTCTGTGGGTGCCCATTTGAAGGAAGGCAGCTCTCCTGCCATGGCTTGCCTGCTGCTGGAAGGGAGCATCGAGGTCTTCCTTCAGGTTGTTAATGCAGAGGTGTTTGCCACGTGATCTGGAGCTGTAGAAATATCTTTGTTGCCGTGAGTCTGAAGTTGGTGTCACCTCTGCTGTCATGTGGGTACACCTTTCAGTGCCTGATGACCCCTTGTTTAGGAGTAGTGTTGTGTTTGTGCACCTCAAATTTCAGTGCAGCTGGATTTTGGTTAGTTACCATCTGATGTCGGGAGATCTGTGCTGCCCTATAAGGGAAGAGAGCAAAAGATTTGTCACCTTATAAATCATCCTGCCATTTATATTTCTAGCATGTCTCTTAAGGCTTTTATGTCTTTTTGCATATGCAAGGCTTTTCCTTACCTGTTCTGCATCTCTCTGCGTGTTTCTTTACATCTGTGGGTTTTTTGTTTGATAGGGTAACAGCAACAATTGTGGCTTCCTGGTGGAGGACAGATTTAGGCCCATACATAACACTACTTACACCCTTCTCTGTTCTGTGCTTTATGTACCCTGTGTAATTAAATCTTGGGGGGGGAAGCGGCGAGGAGTGGAATGTGATATATCATCAGCATGTGGAGCAGGGCTTTCTGTATGAACCACCTTGGGTTGGAAGTTGTAAAAATTTAACTGTTTTGCTAAAGGGGTAGAAGGAAATGTTTTCAGACTTGGTGCTTCCCCAGTTCAACCCCTCCTTTTGATCCCAGAATCCAACTCCAGGATATCTTGTTATGAAGATGAGCAGTGCCATCTCTGATAGCAGCTTTAAAGTCTTTTGCTAAAGAGAAAACAGACCAAAAATAAACTTAAAAGTGAAGAGAGAACAAAGAATAGGGTTATATATAGTGCACAATGTGGGGGACTGTGGGAACCTAAAATGAACAGTTGGTAGCTCTTTTTATACCAGATTTAAGGGGATGAGCCTCTAATGCTGCACTACTGCTGTTAGGCTCAACAGTTCTGCATGTTTTGCAAGTGCCTGCAAGTTGGAACAGCAGAAGGGTTGTGCCTCTCAGTCCTGGATCCTTGGGGTCTGAAAAGAAGTTTCCCAAACTGGCTATCAAGACAACAGCATGTAGCAGCTGTGGTTGATGAGGGTGATGGCAAAAGCAACTGAAACCAGCACTGTGGTGGAATGACTTCTAGGGATTTGGGATGAGCTGCTTCCCAGCACAGTGGATAGTGGTTAGTGTGGTAACCGTGCTCTTTTGCTTGTGCTTGGTTTCAGACTTGCAAAAGATGACAAAACTCTTACAGGCAGACTTCAATATTTCTGTCTTTATATTAAATAAATTCCTGGGGTGTGTTGAGCTTCTCTAGCTTGGAAGGCCAATAACAAAATAATCCTGGAGGAGAGAGAGCTTGCTGTTTAAAGCTATGGCTTTTATTTTATCAACCTGGAAGCTACATTGTACACGTTTCCCACTTTGGGTAGTGTGACAGTGCCACCTTGCACTGTGTGGACTCATCTGGCACTAATGCCATCTTTCCAGCTTGACAGTGTAGGTGTGTCCACTAACAATAGTCTCAGGGCAGGGAAGTACAGCTTTCAAATGGCCCAACTACCTTTTAATACGATGAGAGGAGAATTAGGCCCTGAGAACAGTTACTGCTTTGAGAAATAAGTTCGTTCTGACTAACCCAGAGCTCTTACCTTATAATGAGGGTCTAAGTATGCTTTGCCACTTGTCGGACTGTGTTCTGCCAGGTCCAATTGCTTTCCCCTTTGAACAAGTCCTCTGTTTCTTTCTCTCCTCAGCTGAATTGTAAGGAGACATGGAGTCTGAATGGTCTGGTAAAGCACCTTTTTGGCAAGCAGCTTTTGAAGGATAAGTCTGTCCGCTGTAGTAACTGGGAAGAGTTTCCACTCAACAAGGAGCAAAAACTGTATGCCGCCACAGATGCCTACGTACGTACCCGCAGGGATCACCATTCCACCCATATCAATGAACTTGTCTCCAGTGTGCTGTTAGCTGCTGGGTTTAATGCCTTTCTGCTACAGAACAGAAACGAACTCTGAGGTCCGCTGTGGATATGGGATGCTTCAAGGTGGAAATACCACCACCAAGGTTGCTGTCCAAGTCCTTGTCTTTTAGACCTCAATGTTCATCCAGAGCTTTCCCAATATCGTCTCTGTTGAGTATGGTGGTACCTGACTTGGTAGCCTGTCTTGTTGCTGAGGTCACTTGAAGAGGATATTGTGGTGAACATTTAACATAGAAAATTGAGTGTAGGTGGAAGAAAGAAACCCTGTTCCGCAGCAGCCTTGAGCCTCCCGTGAGGTCCTTAGCTTTTAATGTTTCGTGGTGTTGTGAGATTTGCCTCTTTTGAAGTCTCTTCATGAAGCAGAGCTCCTGGAAGTTTTGCTGTGCTCTGAATGTGCCAAGTAACATGGGCACCAACAAGTATGCCTGAGGGGTGTCTGTCCGTATGGACTCCAAGTTGTCACCTCAGGGAAGTGAGTTTGGATGGAGCAATCAGGTGAATCTTAGTATCTGTATGGAGTAAGCCTGAACTCTTGCAGTGTGATTATCCCACGTAGGTGTAACATGGCTGGTGTGTATTTAAGTAAACTGATGGTTTGTGGAAGTGAAGAGTGGGTAATTATTTTGGGTTCCCTTGTCTGTAGGTCTCCATTGTAGCTGGCTATCACATTTGAATGTGTTTTCTACTGGTGTTTTTAGTCATCTTTCTTGAGCTGCTTATGAACCAAAATCCTCCTAAACATAATATGTGAGATAAAATTAATAAGCAGCTTTGAAGAAATACAGCCTTTTCCAGTGGCTAATACAGCAGAACCAGAGTATGGATTACCAGGAAGAGTAATTTAGTTGCATGTGAATCTTGGTAGCTTTGTAGAAGTGTCTGCTTTCTCATTGTTTAGAAAAGACCATAGTTTTCCTGCAGTTCTCTTAAGGGATTTACCAATGTGCTGCCTGTTTCCTGGGAGAAAATTGTTCTTTATGGCAGCAGAATAAAATCCCCTCAGGCTTTTATGTCTGTGAGGTTAGAGGATGGGAAGTGGGACAGTGGTCTCTTCTTTTCTGATGCGGGAAACATTACTTCATTTCTCATTTAGTTAAATGTTAAACTGTGGCAGGTTTAGCACCTGTTAAGACCCAAACCAGTAAATAAGAGCTCTATTTTTGGTGCCTGCTGCAGCTGCTGTAGCCAGTTTTTCCCAGGCAATGCCTCTTCATAGCTAAGCTCTGTTCACCTGTCCTGCCCTTGGGATGCTTACAGGAGAACACAAGGGAGTAACTTGTTTCTTTCCCCTTCCTCTGTAAGATGCTTTGATTAACATGTGTAGCCTAATTAGCATATTCCTGGCTTTAGGCTGCATTTTCATGTTAAAACTTATCATTCTCATCAAGGGAAATATTAAGCACACAGAATCTGTCTTAGTAGGTTCATAGCTATTCTCTTGGAGCACTACATAGTGTCTGTATGCGGAGCAGATGGCGAGACAGGGAGCTCTCTATTTGCAGCTAACTTAATAAGAGAACCATGCTGGGATCCAGATAAGAATATACACTACGATGTGAACCCCGAGTCAGGACTTTGCCTCTTGTGAAGCATTCTGTAACACGCAACCTGGTTGTGATGGACAGTGCCCTAAGGCAAACCATTTCCCATTGTACCACATGGGCCAGCAGCTCAGAATTCGATGTTCACAAGTTATTCGTGCCATGGTTTGCTGAATTAATTGTTTGGGGGGTTTTGGTTTAGTCTCGAAGATGTTGTTTCTCTAGAGAGTACTGAGTCCTTTTTTTGTTTGTTTTGCAGGCTGGCTTCATCATTTATCAAAAACTGAAGAATATGAATAACAGTGACCGTAAACTCTGTGTCACAAGAGGTAAATTACACAGCAAAGCATAAGGAATTTATTTGATATGCAATTGAGTGTGTTATTTCCCATCAAGTTTTATCTTACTATCTTTGTGTCAGGATTGTCTGGCTTCTTGGTGATTAGAGATGGCTTCCAGAGAGAGCAGGCTCTGAAGGCTTTTAGATGACCTGGGTTACTGTACTGTGTAACTATTTTCCACAGTGATATAGGAATGCAGTCTTGGTATGTTGTTTGTTTTCTGCTGTGTATGGAGATGGTAAGAAAACCTGCTGACATTCCAGTTTGTTTATGGAAACACTTCAGTCAGTTAATTTCAGTTCTGCTGATGCAGGGACAAATACCTAGTTTAAGAATAAGTAAGATCACAAAAAAAAAAAACCACCACGTTTCATGAAGTAATGCTTTCCTCGAGGTGTATAAATTAAGACCCAAATATTTTTTTCAGAGCAGCTTAGCATTGTTTACTTGATTAGAAAAGTGATCTTAAAATCTTGGTCAGTTCTGTGCTTCATAAGGCAAGCTGAGTATTACATGTGGCTTTTGGTTGAAAGAGGCAGCGGGGAGTTATTCCTTTTTGTACCAGCTGAATTTTCCTTTTCAGTCAAAAACAGAAGCGGCAGTACCATCACCTTAATATGAGGTGCAATTTTTTGGCTTCAGTTTAGCCGGTGTATCTGTGTTAGCAGCTCTTTTCTGGAAGCTGGAGGGTATAGTGGGGAAGGATCACTTTGTAATGGGCCACTGAAAGAGATGCAGTACTGAAGTATAGGGAAGCTTGGCCAGATTCCATGTACTTGATTCTTAAGCACTGGAAAAGGCTATCTTATCAGCTGTAGATCTTACAGAAACGCAGTTACTTGAATGAGCTTACCTGTGTTGTATAGATTTAGACCTCAGTTACTGTGAAATAACTGTGATGGCACTTGTTGTAGATGACATGTTGTCAGAGGGTGTGAAGGAGCGCTTGACTTCACTAGCTGAAGAGATAATGGACCTGGCTTCGCACATCCCTGACTCTTCTGGACAACTTGAAAATTTGCAGAGGTTAGATGTTTGTCAGCCTGTCTCTACATTACCTGCAAGATCAGTATTTTGCACTCGATCCCTGTGGTCCCACACAACAAAAGACGTGTGTTAACAGCCATCTCTGTTAACTGAGTGTCCTTTTCCGAGAAAATAAACACTCAATGGGGAAAACTTTTTTTATGTGTAGGAACATAGGTTTTCACTGGTTTAATTGCAGTGGGTTTGACACTGAATTGTGCTCAATCTGTTTTTTCTTACTGAAATATACAGCAAGACCTTCTTTCATAAATACTCGGGACTCTTGAATGACTAATTACTAGAAGTCTGGAGATGATACAAGCATGGGAGCAATACTACAAACTGGTTTTGGAGTCTTTATAAGTTTTTTTTTTTTTCAGTGTGAAGACATTTAAGTTTCTTCTCATAGAAGTAGAATGCCAGTTGCATGTCAGTGATGAACCTTTACATGTGGAGTTTTGGACAAAGTATCTGGAGAAACAGGCTACTTCAGAATCCTCAGTTCTGCTTGTGGCTAAGGTGTATGTAGTAACTGCCTCTATCATTTTTGGTGTAACTCTTTTTGTCTTACCTTCTAGGGCCGCAGAAATACTAGCTGACATATCGGCGAATGTCAATGCATTAAGAAGCACACTGTCTGGTTCAGGTTACCCTTCTGTACTGGAGAGGAGCTGTGGTGCAGCTCCAACAAATCTTGAAGCAGAGTCAGCAAACGTTGAAGTACAAAGAGGTCAAAAGCCTGAATTTGCTAAACACCTTGAAGGTGACCTCATCTGCTCTGATGCTACGCTGGCTGGCCTCTGGGCGGGAGATGGCAATGAAGAAGAGGTGGAGAGAGGTAACAGTGTTGAGGAAGATGAGGCTGCAGCAACCAGCTCTAAGGACAATGCAGACAGAGATGACTTCATGTCGCTAGACATTACTGAGCAAGAACTTCAGATCTTGGAACGTCAGGCTGCGGAGGAATTGGTCAACGAAGCTGCGCCTGAGGTAATGAGAAAAGCCTTTGGTAAACATGGGCACTCAGTGGAGGAAGTCATCTCACAGTTGAGTTCCCCCAAGATTTTGTGAAGTTCTGTTTCTGAGAGAATATTAAGGTGGGCTGGCAGAAGGGCTCAGAGTCTGGAAAAAAACCTTGTGGAGGTAGTCAAGCGCTGAGGCATGCTTCAGTGGTGTGGTTGGAAGCATGAGTACTGAATACAGAACCTCTAAGTAGTTGGATTAGTTTTCCTCTTTCACTTGTTAGTAAGTTAGCAAAAAATTGCTTTTCATATGGGGACAAATTCTTCACTCAGGCGTCTTCAACGTGGTCGTGAATTAAAAAGCACATCTTTGTCTAAGGGATCTGTAAGCAGCAGTTCTACTGACAACTGAATGTGGATTGATGCCTCCAATAATTTCCTTAAGTTCCAAGTGCTTCACACATCTGGTGATACTGCTGTTTTTGTCTCTTATTACAGGGCCTTGTTATGTTCTAATATTTCTTTCAGATAATTTTTTTAATTGGCAGGCTTCAGAGCTGAATGTTGAGCTTAATTATACTGGTTAAGAAGCAAAAGCTTAGGGAAGTGGTTTATATATGTACAGAAGGTTGAAAAGTTGTGGGTAAACCAGAATTAACTTTGCTGATAAGTAATTTTTTTTTCTTAGGAAGCACGCTCCACAGACAACGAACAGAATATTTCCTGTGTCATTGAAAGTGATGAAGAACTGGAAATGGAGATGCTTAAAGTGAGTGCTTCAGGGTTTTATTTTTCAATGTTCTTTGTAATGATGATGCTCTTGGGTCACAGTGGAGTGTAGTTGAGGGGAGGCAATATGAAGCAAACCAGTGTTGCTCATGGAAGGTGGGTGGAAGACAGATCAAAGTGTGGATGTCTAAAGAATTCAACTGACTAGTGTTAGATTTCAGTATTGCTTATATCCTGACACGTCTTCACTAGCTTGAGCTTCATCTGCCCACTTCCTGCCTTTATGTAGATAATCATTCATAAACTGCTCTGCTACACACACGCGTCATGCGGTCCATGAGGTTGATGACAGGGAGGTTTGTGCGTGGCGGTGCCGCTAACCTGGGATGTGTCTCAAATGTCTTTTGTAGCCGTGTTTTCCAAACCTCTTTAATGTGTTTTTATTGGTATAACTTATTCCATTAAAAGAAGACTTCCATGTTGAGTCATATTTTTCTTTACCCCGGCTTTTTTCCTAATCCCCTGGGAGTGCTGTGTGTAGAGTCAAGTGACTGGAACACTTCCCCCAGAGCTGTCATAAGTGTTCCTGTGCTTGTACACGTGGAGGTTGAGTGTGTTGCTTACAGCTCAGTAGGAAGCAGGACTTGAAGATGGGGGCTGGGGGAGCAAAGCTGAATTTTCTTCAAGGTAAAGGCTGAGTCTCTTCTGGATGGTTCTCAAGTGCTGCATGTCAGTCTTCCATAAATGCAGTTTTGGTCAAAAAAGCTAACTTGAGTAGAAGGGGTTTAGTTTAGTGTTTCTTTGAGTACCATGTTTTGGAAACAATGAGTGTAACATGACATTGGGCTAATTTCTGTTTCTTGTTTTTTGGTGACTAGTCTGTTAGTCACTTCAGTGAAACTTGTGCCTTCATCTACTTAAAAAAACCCAAAACAAACCACCTCAAAACTGCACAAACAAACAAAAAAACCTGTCAGTTTTATAAAATAACAGATTTGGTTTGCAAAATTTCAAAGGCTTTTTTGCAAAGAAGAAACAAAAGCCATTGTAATGGTACCCAGGAAATGGCTCTTAGAATTTGAATGATACTGGAAATAGCTTTGACCGCTGTGCTTTTCTCTGTGCTGCGTGCCAGTAGATCTAAGTTGTGCTGTGAGCAGATTAAAACTCGTGTCCCTATATCATGTTGCCTCAGACATACATGGTATCTTACCCTGCTCTGTAATAACTTCTTTTTCTCCTGATTTCTCAGTCTTTAGAAGATGTGGATGACTCCAAAGGAGTTTTAACTGAAAGAGAGTCTGATAAAGCCAGGAAAACTCCTGACAAAGAATTGGATGTTGCATCAGATGGTGATGAAGATGAAGGAATTGAGGAAGAGGAGGAGGAATGTTTGGGTAACTTTAAAGTTATAGTGCACAACTAAATAAAAAAATCCACTGTCTATAGAAGCAGATATGTCTGTAGAAGCTCAGTGACATTTTGTGCTTCTTTTCTTAAAGCAGAAGGTTTAAGCTCATCTGGGTTTCAAAACGAGCACTTGTCGGTGTGTCAAGATGACAATTTAATGGTGTCCTTGGCAAAACATAGTTGGCTCCTGCCACGTTATGTATGCTTAACGGGTGTGAAACTGATCAGGGGAGGTGGAGGTCACGCAGAAGCGAGGACGCTTAATTCGGAAGACAGCAGAGAGGAAGATGGTACCTCCACTATGTGCTTTTGTTCTCTTGTCCTACTGCTGCCGCTTCATGGTGGAATTCTTAGCAAATTCTGTCTTGGCCATGATTTTCACCTAATGCTTTAGAGCTGGTCCTGTGGAGACAAATCAAATAGGGAGAAGAAATGTCAGGTGAAATACACTGTGTCTTGTTTGGACCATTGCTGAGTGAAAGCTTCCTTACCTGGTTGTGTAAGCTAGACTGTGGACTTTGTCACTGAAAGGAACAGCATCAGCCAGGAGAGGAGCTGTTTGCTTCTTCCCAGCAGAGTGTGGGCTGCTAGATGGGGACGGATGAGTAGATTCTTTGTTCAGTTAATACTGCTAAACAACAGCCAGACAAGCTGTTACAGGGAACGTGTGCTTGCCCAACAGACAGAAACGAGGTGGAAACATTACACTTTTTACTGATGAGTGTTAATTATAAATTTCAGTGTCTTCAGTGTTCACACCAAGTCAGGATCTCCTTGGATGTAATTTTTGGACCCTGACTTTGTTAGCACGTTATCGTGTTGAGGATTGGCTAATGTAACTTCGGTGGTGTCTTTAAGGCATGCCTAGTAAAACATCTCTCGTACTTCATCCGAATGTGTCCCCAATAATGCAGCTTGCGTCAAAATACCTATTGCTTTATTGTCTTACTAATCAAGCCCTGTGTTCTCTTCCTCATGCAGTGTCTCTGAGGAGCCTGTTTTCTTTTAATCCTTTATTCTAGCCTGTAAATATCTTCAGAATTTGTGTCCCTCTTTTACTGAAGTTACCCAGATCCTGGGCATCACTAACCGTGAGCAAGACTGTTGTTTGTCAAGACAGTGCTTCGTCTTTTTAAAATCTTATCACAGATGGGTTTTTTCTCCTCTCTCCCCCTAAAGATCCATTGCTACCAGTACCTAGTGAAAGTCACGTCGCATGTCTGAAGACTTATTTTGGGCATTCTTCTTTTAAACCGTAAGTATATTTTCTGTTAAAATGTACACTCTAGGCTTCACTTTCTTCCTGTTCTTTCAACTCCAAGGATTTTTTTTAATTTTTTTTTCCCTTGCGACTTACTTTAAAACCTACCAACAAACTAATCCATTGCTACCAGTACCTAGTGAAAGTCACGTCGCATGTCTGAAGACTTATTTTGGGCATTCTTCTTTTAAACCGTAAGTATATTTTCTGTTAAAATGTACACTCTAGGCTTCACTTTCTTCCTGTTCTTTCAACTCCAAGGATTTTTTTTAATTTTTTTTTCCCTTGCGACTTACTTTAAAACCTACCAACAAACTAGGACCTGTGCAAAATCCCTAGGTTTTAAAGAAGAGCAGCCTTTGCCACAAGAAGATGTCAAAATAAATCTTATGGAGTGTTAACTTCAGTACTGTATGCTCACGATAGAAGATGAGTTTTTTGACTCTTCTGGTGGTATGCTGACTGTGATCGCAGCTTTCTGGTATCAGGTCTAGTTTAGGTGTTTTAAAGTGAGCAACAAACTGCGCAATTGTTGTTCCCTGTACTATAAACTTCCTTTGTCTGGCCATCGTTTGCTACGTGGCTCTAAGTAAGGAGGGACAGGCTTCTGTCTGTCTCATGTGTGATCTCAGTGCAGTATGTGCTTACATACTTGAGCGTTGCTGTTATGGTTCTTAAGTTCAGTGGGAATGGGATAAAATTTTCCTGGCTGCCTGGTGGTGGAATGCTTTCTGTGCAAGACGGAGCCTAGGAGAGCTCTTTTACTCAAAAATATTTGTTAAACTTGTGGAAATGGGGAGTGTGTGATTATTTTAATTGGCCGCAATTATGTAAATTGAGAGACAACAGAAAGATGAAAACTGTTTGGCAAAATCATAGTACTGTTTAGGATCTCATATGTTGAAGATAACTAGTTTTCACTCTGTGTGTGTATCAGTTACTGACGTATGGGAGACACGGTTTGCTTTGTGATCTTCTGTGAATGACTGCATCGAACGTTGCTTTTTAGTCCTGTTAGTCCCCAGTAGAGCACTGGTGGGGCTACCTGCAGTAGTTGGAGTATTTGAGTTGTTGCAGTGTGCAAAGGCAACACTTTAAGGCAGCCAGAAGGGTTTATTTTACCTGAAATGCAACAGTTTCACAAAATTGACATTATGCGTGGTGGCAAACATAAAATATTCCCCTCCACTTAATTTAAAGGGTCCAGTGGAAAGTGATCGATTCTGTTTTAGAAGGCAGAAGAGATAATCTTGTTGTCATGGCGACTGGTAAGTTACCTTTACATCCTAAGAAACAGTGAACAATCTTTTCCTTTTTGGGGAGAGTAGGACTCAAACTTGGAGACTGTCCATGTGGCTCACGAGCAGAGTGCCCTGATTGAGACTGCAAGTCTGAGCCAGCTATGCTCGCTACTTGTTTTTCCTCTCCTAGCATTTGTCACTGACTTTTGGTGTAGAGAGGGATACCGAATGGATGCTGACCGTATTTATCTTGCATCTTTGTTCCTCCTCTAGCAGAACAAGCATAATTTTTAGTGCTCAGTAAGGCATTAGAATTGTCTTAAGTAGCTGTATGTTATAGCTGTGCAGGAAGCGTGATGTTTCACTTCTGCCTTTTTTCTTTAAGGCTATGGAAAAAGCTTGTGCTACCAGTTTCCTCCTGTTTACACTGGATGTACAGGAATTGTCATCTGTCCTCTTATCTCCTTGATGGAGGACCAGGTGCTGCAGCTGACGTAAGTAACACGGTAGTAACAAGCTGCTGCTGTATTTCCTGTGAAAACCCACGGATTCTGCTTCCGGCATTTCTTGGTGTTTTAAGTTTGCAGCTTTGTTCAGCAAGCTGTTTATGTCAGCTCTGAAGCATACCTGTCTCAAGGAACACGTGCAAACTGCTTAAATGGTCTAAGATCACTAGATTTGCCAATTACGCGAACTGTGGGGTGAATTTGCAAAGTATTTATGCTGGTGGGTGATTCCTGAAGTTGGATCCTTCTTGAGTACTTCTGGAATCACAGGCCTTTTTTGCACAGACAGAGGAGAAGCTTCACAGTCTCTTTGAGCCTGAGAGTTATGTCAAAACGTGGTAGGGCTTCCTTTGGGTCTGGGAGGTAGAATCTGAACAACATGAAGCTGTAGGGCATTCAGATCAGAATTCTGGCGCAGACTTTTAAGACAGACAATGTAGTAGGTCTCTGAACACCTGGCCTCTTCACTTCTTAAAAGGTGTGATGGGGGAACAAGTGGGTGACATGGAATCACTCTTAACCTGAGCAGTTATAGGTGCGGTGAAGATAAATGTCTTTAATTTTAATACTCAATAATGCTTTCTCTGCGTGTACTTGCTTTTTGTTATAACAGCCTTTCACTCTGACACTTTCATTTAAGCTGTGGGAATCATGCTGAGTTCCCTAGTTCATTCCTGCCTTGTCCAACTTAGAAAGAACAGGTCTTTTGTCAAAGAGGGGATATGATTTTTTTTTTTAAGTAAGGAACATCAATTATGTGTGGGATTTTCTGCTGCACATCATGACTGTGTGCAGATGAATGGCTGGATAGCCTGAGCTGGTTCTTTAGCCAGCTCCTAGACTGAGTACTAATCAGCAGGGCGTCTACACGTATTCAGCTGCTTCTTTGGCTTTTGTACTGTGTTCCTCACTGGAAAGGGTTTCATTCGCTACCTTCTCAGTGGGTCGTTCATTTTAAAGGCTGAGGAGACTGACTTTCTACGACCTAATATAATGCAGTAATTTGTCTGTCAGGTGCAGTTCTGCCAAGGACTGAAACAGGGGTGAGGGGGGAGAAGCTCTGGAAACAAAGGGCTCTGATAACTTCATTAGTTACTGCATGTTAAGAGGACAGGGGTTGCAGGGTCCTGAAAGAGATCAAATATCAAGTGGATGAGCTGGCAAGTGTAATTGTTGCAAAGCAGCCACCTGATGGAAAACGAGCAGATGCAGCACTAGTAGCTCAAAAAAGATGGAAAGGCGAGGAAAGAAATTGCAGGCTTACATCCAAATGTGGTGAACTGCATAAGATAATAACTAAAGAAGACAGACTTACTGTATCTTCTTTAATAGTAAAACCTCTAAAACTTAGCTCTTCTGCAAAGCAAATGGTCTTTATTTCTCAAATTCCTTACTGCACTAGGCAGGTGTGTGTTGTGGGTGATGGCTGGAGGGGAAATGGAAGAGCATTTGGGTGGCAGGAATAGCTGCTGACCACTCTTGCTTTTTCTCAAAAAGTTTTTCCCACCAAGATACTCGGAAAAAAGTCTCTAACCCCCTAGCTTACTCACAAAGTGCTGGCATAAGCTGAAAGCTAAGGCAGGAAACATGGAGAATAAATCTCTTCATGACTGTGCTTTTTATTTCTGCAGCATGTCAGGGATTCCAGCGTGCTTGCTTGGTACGGCTCAGCCGCAAAACATCCAAGAATGCATCAAAGCGTAAGTCTTGGATAAGCTTTCTGGGACTGCAGGTTCTGACGTAGGTGTATTTGCGAGGTAGGATGGCTCCCTGATCTGTCATTGCTGAAACACTAGGTTCTGGCTCAGTCCTGGAACCTGGCAGTCAGCAATACTGCTTGCATTCACTGGGCTGAGGATGTGGGAGGCTGTAGCCACCCCCTGCTGCCCTCTGGCTGGGGAGATGGGGCTTGTTGCCTCAACACTGTCATTTATACGTGACTTTACACAGGTCGTAGACCTGTATTTGTCACCAGGTAATCACAACAGTACCTTCTTGTTCTAAAGGCTGGTAAACCTCTCTGCTGTTTTTCCTGCTCCTGTAACACTGTGTACTGCCTTGCTTTCCTATTGTTCTGGAATGCTTTCTGTGGTCTTCATTTCCCTCCTCTTGTTCCCTATGCGAAAGCCTGTCCTTGTTCTCATTTACATCTTCTACACAACCATAGTTTTGTTCCATTTGGTTGGGTTGTCTGGGGTTTTTCCTTTCGTGATGGTGTATTCTCTTGATGTTTCAGGGGTCAGTACAGAGTCATATATATGACACCAGAGTTTTGTTCGGGGAACTTAAAGTTACTTCAGGATCTTGACCAAACTATTGGTAAGTTGACAATAAGGTTGTGGATGGGTTTGCAGGCAGATGAAATTCATAACTACATTTAAACCTTTTTAGTGCTTGAACGTTTTTTTCACCGGTTTCCTACCACTAGTGAGCTTAGAGACTAGTATAGTGACTGCCAATAAATGGTGTCAGAAGATCCTGTCATTGATGGAAAAAAGATGGTATGTGAGTAGTGTCTTTAGCGTGGTCTTAGCATGGGAACATTAGACAAGTTACTGGGAACAGAGGTGCTAAAACACTGATCTCTAAATCACAGGAAGTGAAAAGTATATCACTAACTATTTTAGCCCTTGAGGTGTTCTAATCTCTCTGACCTTTCTTGGAAAGTAACAACGGAATTGTGTTTTGAAACACAACAGTACATCTTAAAATTTCTCTTTCATCAAAGATGATGCAGCTGATGGGCCTTGAGTTTACCCTACTATGAGATGCATAAACACCAAGATTATTTTTCTTAAGAAACTGAGTTTCTAGTGCTTTAGGTAGGGAGGACAGTGTAGGGAGAAGAGGAGCCATCTGAGTTTCTGCAGTCCTGAGAAGCTGTACGCTTGGCCTCTCTGACACTAGGGTGCTTTGAAATATGCAGATGAGAATTGGATATCTGTACTGGAATTGAGGGGGGGAGGTTCTGATTCAGAAAATATATGGTTATTTTCCAGGGGCATCTTTAACACCTCTTTCCTCAGTTTTATTTGTGGAATTTTCACTTACCTCTTCAGTGCAGACCTGAGACACTCAGGCTTTCCTTTACAATCCAGAAAATAAAACTAATGGCATCTGTTATCAGTGTTTGTGATTATTATTAAGAAGTGTGCTGTCAGAGGTAACTCACGATTTCGACCTATTGTGAGGGTTGTTGGAGATTTGGAGCTTGGAGAAGGAAGCAGAGATGGTGTTGGGGGGAAGTCTGGAAAAGCTCTTAGGCCTTTTACAAAAGAGGCCATTATAAAAATGGGACTGGGGAGTCAGTATGGCACAAAGCATCCTAGAAACAAAAAATTAAAGAGTCCGCTGGTTCCTTCTCAGGAAGGTTTGAAATAGAGCAGGATGAGATGTTTGTGTTTTGTCACTTCCCACGCTAGTTTCTCTTGCTAATGTGTCCATCCTGTGGTTCTGTGCCCACCAGGTATTACCCTCATAGCCGTTGATGAAGCTCACTGCATTTCCGAGTGGGGCCATGACTTCAGAGATTCCTTTAGAAGTTTAGGCTCATTGAAGAAGACTCTGCCATGGGTGAGGTTTTGATATGTTTGATATCTTATACAAGAGAAGGATACTATGTCGTTTTATGAGTTTGAAGTAGCAGTCTTTCGATGTTGCTCTTTGGGTGTCCTTACCATGCTGTTGTGGAGTTGATGCCATCCCTGTCAGTGATTGGGTTCTATGGGTTTATCTAAATGCTTAAATTAAGGATGTTCTGAATCTGGACTACCAGAAACTTCTAAAAATTAAATCACTTTGTTGGATCCCTATGCTGTGGAAGGTGATGTCTCTAAGCTTCAAGTCTGGAACTGAGGGTTTGTTTTGTTTTGTTTTGTTTTGTTTTTTTAAACTGAGTGGCTTGTTAAGAGCATGCAACTGTGATTTCTAGGCACTCCTTAGGCATTTACTGAGTAAGCTGAAAAGTTCAGATCTGAACTTCACATGCTCTTTTTGGAAGTTTCATCCTATGTTCCCTAAATCTCACTAACCACATCAGCACACTACAGTAGACTCGTTGAAGATCTAACTAAAGAGAATATGCATTCGGAATAAAACCCTTTAAGTGTTTTGCCCCTGTCTGCACTCCTGAACAGTGTAGACCAGAGCTCTAGGAAGCTAAGTATTAACTATTTCTTTTTCAAATAGCTGAGCTGATCCAGCAATCATAAACAGATTAAAGTGTCTGTCTACACGCTATTTCAGTTTTGACTCATGAGGTCGGGTTTTTTTTGTTATATCAGTTATAGGACTTGGACTTTTTCTTCTACTTTTTATTGCAGGTTCCCGTTGTGGCTTTAACTGCAACTGCAAGTCCATCAATTAGAGAAGACATAGTGAATTGTCTGAACCTGAAGAATCCCCAGGTCACATGTACTAGTTTTGACAGACCTAACCTGTACTTAGAAGTTGGACGACAGAGCGGAAGTATCCTTAGGGATTTGAAGCAGTTCCTTACTAGGAAAGGAAGGTAAGGATTTAAGCCTGTGTTCATTGATCCCTCAGATACACTTCAGTATTTCTGAGGTTTGGTAGTGTGTACAAAGAGTTGGTAGCTGTCTTAAACTGATTTGATGAGGGAGAGCTTGGGCTTTCTCTGTAGCTTGGCTCTGATATCATGTTAGTCACTTGCGTGGTGGCCCATGTTGTTGTGCCTGGACCGCCTCTCCCAATTTAAAAAAAAAGGCTTTTGAGGCCTGGAGTGATGTACTCTTGATGTTTTGCATGTTGCCAACTTGAGGATCTTCAGGATCATTTGATCCTCGGAGAACCTTCTGACAGTGTAGCAATGCGAACGATTATGATGGATTGGCTGGGGGGTAACTTCCCGAACACTGTTGTACAAAACACAAATCCATTATAAATCTGTGGTAAGATCATTTTCTTAAAGCTGATCTGAGCAGAATTTCAGTCCTTTTGTTAGCAGACCTGCCGGCGTACCCGTTCTAGCCCCATCGTTCTCCTTGTTGTAAGCTACAGTGTGTGGCTCTGCAGCAGTATTAATGTATTTCTCATCATTCGTTTGTACCTTCTGATGTAAATCTCGACCCTACACAAGTGACAGCTGCAAAAGCGTTATTTCCTGATGACTTTAAGGAAATTGGGAGGCCTTATTTTGCTGATTCTACGGAGACCAGTCTTCTGTGTTTTGCAAAATAAACTTAAGAGCACCAGGTAACTTCCAAGTCTGCTTTTCCAAAGGACAGACAAGTTGTGTGCGAGTGGACCAGTTGTAATCTGTTTCAATTCATAAATCCCAAGAAGGTGAACTGCTGAAAAAGCAATGTTGCCTTTTTCAACTAGGTTCTGTCAGACTTTTTGCAGAAGGGTGGCTGCTTCTGTTCGGTGTCTTTACATGTTGCTATTATTTGTAGCAGTTCTTCCTATGAGTTTGAAGGCCCCACTATCATTTACTGCCCTTCGAGAAAGGCCACCAAACAAGTGGAATCTGAACTGATTAAACTCAATGTGTCTTGTGGTGCATACCATGCTGGTATGGGAATCAAACAAAGGAGGGAGACCCACCACCATTTCATGAGGGATGAAATTCAGGTATGTAGGACAGACCCTTTGTTCCTATTTCTAATAGCAGGGTTTCTGGTAAAGGGAAGAATTAGGAATACCAGCATGTGTTTGCAATTTACTCTGCTTACCTCTCATTTTGGGCATGAAATTGCTGTTCTAGTCTTAAAGTAATAGGATTCCTGGCTTGTGCTTGAAATTGCCTTAGGTCTCTTAAAAATGCATAGTATCTGAGGAAACTGGTGGTGGCTGGAACAATACCCTCACTAGTCTGGTGAGCTGCTTTCCTTCTCCTCCTGCAGCTAAGCACTTCAAGATAGGTTTTGTGCCTTTTGAGGAAAATGGCTTGAAAACACTCTAGCGTTGGACACAACACATCATCACTTGCCTGTTTATAATCCTATGTTCATGCTCTGACCAAAATCAGACTTAACAGTACTGTGGATGTCGAGTGTGAGTTTGAAGCCGTTGCATTTTAGGCTGAATTTTGAGTCCGTAGCAGAAAGTTGCCACCAGGTGTTTGAGCATTAATCCAGGCATGGTCTTGGTACTCATTTGAAAATATTCAGCATGTGGCTTCTGTTTTGTAGTGTATTGTGGCTACAGTGGCATTTGGAATGGGCATCAATAAAGCAGATATCCGGATGGTTATTCATTACGGTGCTCCTAAGGAAATGGAATCCTATTATCAAGAAATTGGGAGAGCTGGTCGCGATGGGCTTCCTGCTTCTTGTCATGTCTTGTGGACGGCAGCAGACTTGACTTTTAACAGGTGAATGAGTGAAGACGGCTGCTCTGACATGGATAGTCAAATTTACCAAAAGAAAGAGGAGCAGGGTGGGTTTGGTGGACAATGTGTTGATGTCAGAATAGTTCCAAGTCCTTTCCTGTGTACTTGGTACCCTGTGTATGCTATGCTTTATCTAGATAATCCAAAAGTGCACTAATGTTCATGAAGTTGTCCTTGTTCCAGTTCTGCTTTCTGAACATGCTTTGCAATCCAGGCAGTGATAAAACCTGGTCACTTGTCCTGGAAATCATGTGAACAGGTTTTAGACCCGTCATCACCCCCGAAGAGCAATGATGCTGTAGAACTACTTTTTTCCCTCCATTATCTAGATGTCTACATAGAGAAATAAGTTGGGGTTTGGTTTTTGGTTTTTTCTGGATGGTGAAGTCCTGGTGGTTGAGGTCTCCTGAGTTCCGTAGGTGGTGTGGGACCACAGAAATGTCTGAACTTGTGTCAGCGGACTGCCAGTCTCTGTGAAACCATATATTTCACTACTGCTTTTTTTTTTTCTGTTTCCCAGGCAGGCAGAAACTTGCTTAGCTCAGCTTTGAGCTGGAATGGTGTAGCTGCATTAACGTGGTGCCCACCACCTGCAATATTGGCTGCTTCTTCCATGCTGTGTGGCATAGGGAGGGTGGTGCAGGTGGTAGCTCAGGTTTGGCTCAGAGCATGGGCAGAGCGAGCGCTCTGTACACCTATCGAGTACACTCATGCTGGCTTCTCAGCTGGTTGCTTCCAGTGACTACTATAAAGGATACTAAATCAGGCAACAGGTAGATGTGTCCCAACATGCTGCCCCCAAATTCCTTAGAAGAGTGGTGTTACCTTAGCATATTGTCATCTACCATTGGCGTTGATGAGGACTTGCTGGAGCTTGTTTGGAAAACTGGAGGCTGAGGGGAAATGGCCCTTTCTCAACGCTCTTTGCCCTTGGTTTCCTGCTCTGTGCCTTCAATATTTAGAGTCAATATTTAAAGCTCTTCATCTTTCCTCTTTGACAGACGTCTTCTAAGTGAGATACGCAATGAAAAGTTCCGCTTGTACAAACTGAAGATGTTGACAAAAATAGAGACGTACCTTGTGTCGAGTGGATGCAGGAGGAAGTGAGTGCCCAAGTCTGTGTAATGCTTCCTGTCATTTCAGCTAGCTTTGTGAAGAGCCATGGCACCTTGGTCACAACTTCAGGTTGTAACCAGAAAGCATCTTAGACTGATAGTGTGTTCTGCAAATGTGTTTTATATAAAAAAGCCATATCAAAAAATACGGCTTTTGGCATATTTACACGTATACATCAAGTACTTCCTTATTTATTTAAAAACACCACCTTTTCCTTTAGAAAAATTGAGGCCAAGTAATTGGCTCCCCAGTGAATTAATTAACAATGCTGATTTCAACCCTGTTTTCTGCAATAAATTTCGTGTGTAAATTCTTAGTCTTTTATTTAATTCTCTATATTCCCTTGGGTAGAATCATCCTGTCTCATTTTGAAGACAAACAACTCCGAAAGGTTTCTTCTGGCATCATGGGCACAGAAGAATGCTGTGATAATTGCAGGTCCAGGTAAGCTTTCTTCCCTGAAGGCTGATACAAGAGGTTCTGTTCTCTCAAGATGGCTTACAAGGCAAATTATGCAAAAGTTGACTTTATATGCATCTGATCTTGCAGATGTTCAGCCTGAAGTTTATCTTTGATCAGCTGTCTCTTAACCTTCCCCTAAATCACTGAGCAGCCATGAGGCAGCTTATAAGCTCAAAGTTAGCCTGTGGGAAAGTCCATGAATGAAGTGTAGTCACAGTTCCTAAAAAGGGCTGTTTAGAGCAATGCTCTTAGACTGTGAAATATGCTTTTGTTCGTTGGTTTAAGTCCTGTTAAGTAATTAATCCCAAAAGAAAACACTTGCAAGTGGAGTGCAACACCCTGTGTGTAGGTTAAATTGCTGGAGTGTTAAGGGAGCTGTTCTCTTGTTACAGCGTGTGCTGACATATGTTCTTTCCAGCATTGCTAATAATCTCATAGATGTGCTGGAGGGAAGCCGGGAGGTTGGTAGTCTCACAGGTGTGAGCAGAAACACCTTCCTCTTGTCCTGTGTGCACGTACACGCTTTCCCTGAAGTTTTAATAAAGGCTTCCTTGTTCTTCCCAGTAGCCTGATGCTTCCTGATCTTAAATAAGATGTTACGCTCTGCAGCTTTCTGGAAAAATGTTATCAATTCATCTGATGCTCAAGGATTAAGAAAACTTTGCCTGGCATCTCCTAAAACTAACCAAGAAGAGAATTTGAGAGATCATCATTTCAATCTTTGTGGTCATGTTGCTGTGCCAGTGAAGAGCCACATAGTGAATTTGTTGCAGAACTGAAATCACTTGAAATAAATCATTGTCCATTTTCTCCTCCTTAGAAGTGATTTGTGACAATTTTTTAGTAAATAATAAATATGTTTACAAACCCTACATAATCATTAGTGGGGTTGCTGTTTCCTTCTGTATTTTACTCCCTTTGTGTTTGGGAAAAACAAACCCCTCTATGCTATTAGTTGAAACTCAGGAAGTGTCTTGTATGACTAAAACAGTCCAAATACTCAAATATCTAAATTCAAAAGATTGCTGAAACAACAGTGTTCTGTTACAGCAAGTACCATGAGGAACTGCTTATTGTTGGGTTGGGCATCTGTCTTTTAACCAAAAGTGATTTTGACTTCTGCTTGGTCTCATGTTTCCAGTCCTGGTTCTTTAGGCTTTAACATGCTTAATTGTTTATGCTAATGTAACTCGAAGTATGTATTTTATGTAGTTACCAGTTGATAGACAATATTTGAAAGAAGGGGAGGGCACTTGACTTGTATGTGTGTTAAACTTAGGGTTTTTTGTGCATTTCAGAGCCTCTTGTTTTGCAGTCCCCAGTGACTCAGAAGGTGGTTTACAGGACTTTGGGAAGCAAGCATATCAGCTGATGTCAGCAGTGAGTGCCCTGGAAGAGAAGTTTGGAACTAGAGCTCCTATTCTGTTTCTCCGAGGATCTGTAAGTAAAAATCCTTGTACGTGTTTGGAGAGTGGAAGGACTGTTACTGTCCCTCTGTATTGACACACCAAACAATACATTGATATGAGTAAAAATGTGTGTGCACACATGTGTATTTAGTACCTTTTTCTCAGAGAGCCATTTATCTGTAGAGAGGGGTAGTCTAGACATTCTCAAGCTGCTCAGCAGCACTTCCCGTGCGGCAAACTAGATTATTGCCTTTAAAAATAACAAACAGCCATAAAAATAGTGGACTTCCTAAGCACATTGTGCTTAATTTTGTGCACGTACAACTCTGCCTCCAAGCTCTCACCACCTTAGTTCTGTTTTTATAATGGTGCAACATTGTCCTCTGTTACCCAAGAGTTCAACTTGGGAATAGTACCTGTTGTTTGCTGTTTGTGGAACTGTCCTGTGTTTTATGGGGTTTTGAGTTGGTTGTCGACAGTCGTCTGTTAAACACGAATGCCAGCCCAAGTCTTGGCAGAGGTTATAAAGCTCTTCCTGTAATGCTTGAGATTTTGTTGGGGGGGTTTGGGACAGTTTGTTTTCGTAGAGGCAGTTAAATGGGGGCGTGTCTATGTTTGGGGTGTGGGTATTTTTGGTTTGTTTTTCTCATGAAGGTGCATAATTTTGATTATCCTGAAAGGAATAGGCTTTTCAGCATGCAGAATAAACACATCTTTGCTCGGTAATACCTTGGTTGATGTTTGAATAAAGCAAGTGATGGCTTGCGTTCTAGCTGTGTACTGCTGACTGACTTGGAGTAGTGAGACAGGAAGTAAGATACTAGAATGAATACAAATGATTTCTATATACCTTTACTTACAACATTCCTTAAATATTAGGTAAGAAACTCACCAGAAAAAAATACTAGAGTAGGAACAGTATCACTTTTCATATTTACAGCCAGGGAGGAGGGGAAATCATCCTGATAAATAATTTATTAAGTGAAGATGATGCTGAATTTGCATTGCTAATAACAATAACCTTTTACTGACTACAAGAATACTGTTTTCTGGGTATTGTGTGTTAGCCCAATAAGCAACCATAGTACCACACAGCTACTAACATAGCTTTAAAAAAAGTTTCCTGACTGCGTTGCGTCAATGTATACTCTAGAATGAATGTATGAAATAATCAATATCACTGTAAGTTTACGTGCTGTTTATGTCTGAGGCTGACAGATATGTTGCTCTAAAAGCTTGTGTATAGTTTATGGAGAATTTGTTCCCTTTTCTAGTGGTATCTTCTCAAAGTCCAGGTGGCCTCTAACAGACTTTGTGTGGGACCACGAGAGAGACCATGTTTCGCTTAATGTTTGAAACCTGAGTCAGGCCATGAAAGAGAACAAGGCCCTGTGGGAAGCTGAATTAGAGCTGCATTGACAGAAATATTATACTAACTCTGCTAAACAAAAAAGAATACGCTACGCCTCATGTCTCATTTTATCAGCAAACAGGGCAATTGTAGCTATTTCAGCAATTATTTTGTTGTTGTTAGTAGTGTCGGTGACTGGTTGCGAGTGGCTTTTAGTAGTACCTCTAGCATATAATAACTTGTAGGAAGTTGAAATTGCTCTTTTGGCTTCTATTGGTCAAGCTTAATTGACAGTGCTTAGCCCAAACATGGACAGTCTATACTGTTTTGCATCTTATTCGTTTTATAGTTATTTCTATTGTTGAATTTGTTCTCCAGGTCAAAACCATGCTCTGAAAATGTGCAACCCTTGGAGTAATTAATGTAACTGGCCTTACAGAAAGCTTAGGAATGTAGTTATACTTTAAAGTATTGTATGTTGAAAGTTGAATGAGGGCTGTCTGTTAGAGAGGACACAGGATTTGGTGCTTTCTCTTTGCCCGCTGAATAAGCGAGTCACTGGTGTTCACCATCAGGACTCTGTGCCCTGCTCCCATCCAGCAGCAAGCTGAGTCCCTCTTGCATGTTGCTGGTTGCTCCAGCTTTCATCCGCTGCTGCTAAAGGGCTGAAACAAGCCCTTGCTGCTGCTGCTGCTGCTCTGGCTGTGTGTGCAGGATAGCAGCTCTTAGACTGTCTGAAGTTCTCCAAATTGCTCCTTACTGTGATCCCTGAAGATGGCACAGAGCTCAGCAGGCCACTGCTGACCACTGCCTGTCCTGCATTTTTCACTTGGCTTCCTCTTCTCCATCAGCCTGTTCTGTTTTCCTTTATAAGGAAAAGTTACGGTGGATAACTTGCTCTGTTTGCATAACGTCTAGAATGAAGGGATTCTGGTAGAAGCACTAACAGGAATCTGGGAAAACCTGTGTTAGCAGCCAGCCCTATAAAAGGCGAGATGTGAGCCTCCACCCCTCTGTCTCCTGTTGTCTAAGATGATATCAGTCACACTCCCAGCTTTTTTCCCACCACCCCCTCCCATGGGATGTCTTTATCTGACCAGCATTGCATATGTATGTACCCTTTCTGTAGGATATGATTCATGTATATACATGCATGAATATATATGTATGTATATATGTAATATATATAAAATTACTTGTTTGACCATGTAGTTTCTCCAGTGGAGAGGGATTTAGCAAGTCTACAGATAACAGGGTCTAAAGGCTGCCTTCCTGTTGACTTCATGCTCTAGCAATAAATTGAAACTTCTTTCTGTCTGAGACACTTTTCTCTACCCATGCTTGATTCCCTGTTATTTCTCTGTTTCAGTGAAGTTTTCAACTTGTCAGGCTTATGCCAAGAGTTTCTTTTGTGAGATGGGCTTTAGCCCTTTGCCATTCATTTGAGTGGGTAAGAGCCCATCAGACAGGAGCTAATCTTTTAGAGTCTGAATCATTGGTAAGAGATGAGTAAATCAGCAACTTTTTAAAACAAAATAACAAAAAAAACCCCAACAAACCCCACTTCACAATGAAGGCCCAAGGTGGAGTAGAGCCAACATCTGTAGTGAGCTTGCTTCTGGCTTTGTACCCTCATTGTGGGTTTTAAGCAGGACTTGTCCATTTATTTGGACTTCTGTAGGCTCTTATATTAAAAACACAATGTGTAGCTGCTTCTGTTTGAACTCATGCAATGTAAGATGACCTGACTGGTTGAATACAAACTGCACCAGGTGACTTTCTTTGCTGCTATGGATTGCTGCGTCATTTCTGTAACCTCTTCCACGTATAAAGAGAGATGTTTTAATAGTTCTGTGAGCTAAGTGTAGGTTTACCTGAGGTTTTAGGACAAGATAAAGTCATGATCTTGTCACAGCCTTGGCAGAAAGCACAGGAGTAGTTTTAGTTAGTAGAGGGGAAATGGCTCATCAAATGACATGAAGGAGGCGATAGTGCCATCTCAAAATGTGTTGAGGAAAGGAAGCTTATCACGAGTAGTCAGCATGGATTCAGCAAGGGGAAGTCATGCTTGACCAATCTGATGGCTTTTTATGATGGCATCACTAGATGGATAGACGAGGGGAAGGCAGTGGATGTGGTCTACCTTGGCTTCAGCAAAGCTTTTGACACGGTCTACCATGTCATCCTCATAGCCAAGTTTAGGAAATGCGGACTGGACCATTGGATGGTGAGGTGGATTGGGAACTGGCTGCAGGAAAGAGCTCAGAGAGTTGTGGTCAATGAGGCAGAGTCTAGTTGGAGGCCTGTGGCTAGTGGTGTGCCCCAGGGGTCAGTGCTGGGTCCAGCCCTATTCCATATATTCATCGATGACTGGGACGAAGGGATAGGGCTGACGATACCAAACTGTCTGGTATTCAGAAGTATCTGGCTGGTATCCCCAGAAGGCTGTGCTGCCATCCA